TGGTCCCTATGAAAATATGGCAAACAACTTAGTTTGAGGAGGAAAAAGCTGAAACTTGATTAACTGAAAGGTCAGTGGAGTATGTGTACAAAATTAAACCACACAGCTGTTACATTATAGCAACATCTAAGAGTGGCCTTAGAAAAGAAAAGGAAAAGGGCCAGGGGTTTAGCTCAGTGGTTCCACCTCCTGCCTCACAAGCGCAAGGACCTGAGTTCGATCCCCAGGACCAAAAAAAGAAAAGGAAAATATTCACAGAGAAGATTACTTTCTTTTGTATGGAAGGCACACGGTCTGAGGTGAGAACACACGTGGCACATGGTGTGTCCAACTCACAGTTAATAAGGTGTAGAAGTTGGCCCATGCCCAAGGAAGTCACTGCCCACGTCACACACTACCATATATCTTAAGTCTATTCTCTGTCATTTTAACAAAATATCTAAGATCAAGTAATTTATTAAGAATAAAAGTTCATTTGGCTTGTGATTCTGGAGTCTGGGAAAACCAAAAACATGGTGTCAGTATCTGCTTGGCAGCTGGACCTTCTTGCTATATCTTAACCTTAATGAGGCCATCACATGGAATGACAGAGAAAGTACTGCTCTTCTTATAAAGCCATTCACTACTGAGAGAGGGAGACCAACCTAATGATTCACTCCTAAACATGTTCCAAAGGCTCCACTCTGCAAATACTTGTAAAAAATATTGTGGAATTAACTTTCCAGCGCATCAACTTTAGGGGCATGAATTCGAAACACAACCTACACCAGGCATAAGCGGCCAATCTCACAGAATTCTGGAATGGTCTAAAGAAAAGTATATCTGAGCAACTTACTAGGAGACAGAATCTGGCAGAAGCCATGGCACCTTCAGTCTGCATAGACATGATAAATAGGAGACCTCTATGTGGCTCCAGGAGGTGCCCTAAGAGAAGAACATGAGTCCAGCAACAAGAGGTAGAAGCAGGATTGGCCTCACTTGCCATCACTCCCAAAGGACCACTGGGGGACTTTTTGCTTCCTGTTCCCACAACTCTCAGCTCTGCAGGCTTAGCTTCTGGTCCAAATGGGATATGCTCTTGCTAGGAAACAAGCAAGTGTTCCACTGAACTAGGAGCTACAGTTGCCATTTTGAACTCCTTGTGTCCAGGAACAAACAGAAAATACGTCACTATTTTGGTAGATATAAACTGACCCAAGCAGCAGGAGGCTGTGTTGCTCTTACACAATGGGGGCAGAGTGATATGGATGGAACTGAAGTGATCCACGCGGATGCAGCCTGATTTTCCCTTGACCAATTATACCTATGAATGAGCACATGCAGCAAAATCAGCCTGGGAGCTCAGACCCCTTAGGAATGAAGTAAGTTGCACCCACAGAGATTATAGCTAAGAGTGAAGAGGATTGAAAACACATACTCAAGAAAAGAAATGAGCACCAGTTGTAAAGCAACAGGAACTATAGTTCATCCCAATGACCTCCCTCAGGAAAAGAAGCCAAGAACTATGAAGGAGCTCTTTCTCGAAGCTATGTAAAGAAGCAGATCTGTCTCTCATACTTCTTCTCAATGGTGGTAAGGATGTTAAGCAGCTTGGCCAGCTCTCCATAAAACCTGGCTTCAGGAGTAGAGTTGATGGATAGCCTACCCCTGCCACACCTTAGGACCTTTGACCCTCTGCAGATCTTGCCAAGTCCCTGCTTGTCCTGGGCTTCTCCAACCAATGACCAGGCACACCCTGGTACTAGCAATGGGCTGCCAAAGCAAGACTCTCCTAATATGACCTGCAAGCCTTTAGTGACTCCCCACTCACCTACTTGAGACTTTCTAAGAACTATATTTCAATCTAGACTTCTTCCTAAACTAACCCTTCTTTCTCATACTTATCTTAAATTTGCATCATAAGGATCCTCTGGACTTACTTTCTTTCCCTCCCTCTTACTGTTCACAGGCATTTCTCCTTATAAATCTTTTGCACATTCAATCCCTTCTTGACTCCTGTCCCTCAGAAGATTGGGACAGACGCAATTAGTACCAGGAGTGGTCCACAACAAGAGGCAACAACATGGTCTGGGGACTGGCTCACTCACTGCCCAACAGGTGAAAAACATCCCACCCTAAGGAGAGTGTGGGGCAAGTGTTACTCTTTCCACAAAACAGGAGCCTAAATGCTAAAGGTTTCACTAGAGTTGACGTGGGAAAACTACCTGGCTGACAGGAAAGCTCTGGCTCATGCAATGACTCAGGTATTTAAAAAATGGAGGAACTATCCTACAGTGGTAGGCAAAAATGTATAATGATTATAGGAGCAATTTCACCAGGAAGATGTAACAACAGTAAACTTGAGGGCCAGGGATTTAGCTCAGTGGTTCCACCACCTGCCTCACAAGCACAAGGTCCCAAGTTTGATCCCTGGCACCAAAAATAAATAAATAAATAAATACACCAGTAGTAGAGCCTCAAAATAAAAAAAGGGAAAAATTGCAGAATTGTGAAGAAAAGCTGGCAAATCCATAATCATAGAAAGAGACTGACACCTTTCTTTCCCTAATGAATAAAGAAACATGATTAATTTAAAGGCTAGTAAGTTTTTGAATGTTTCTTAGCACCAGGCATTATTATAAGCACTTGCATATTTTAATTCATCTATTCTTCACAATAAATAACCCTATGAGGTGCATTATTGTTACCTCTGTCACAGATGAAGAAAGTGAGACCACAGAGGGTAAGAAAATTGCCCAAAGAAAACTACTAGAAGTAATGGAATCAAGATTTAAACTCAGGCAAACTAGCTGAATTTTCCTTTTTTTTTTTTTTTTTTACAAGTTTAGTTATGCATATAAATAGGTGTAATAGTTTATCCAGCATATGTAGGGACTATGCAACACATTTTGGTTATCTTAATCTATCTACACCAGAAATAGAAACACTAACAATTTGATTTAAAATTAAATTTTGCTCATTTTTAATTATGTTTTCATTGAGTTTACTGGTACTTTTTGGGTATGCAGTACAGTTACACTCATCATTGGGATCTTGTACCTTTACACAACAGATCTTTGTTCTCATTTCTTTCACCATACCCCTGCTCATTTTTAATTATTAAAAAATAAGCCACTGCCTTGTTGGAGTATTTCAAATCATTGCCTTAAACCTTTTGGTATTACTTTGATTTGATGTATTAGAATACTGACCCTGAACAGCCATGGTCTTAGTGGACAGCACAATAAACAAATTAAAATAATACCACTTGAAAGTTATAATGGTAGTGATATATAGACAATGGATCTATACATAGCAGCATGCATTCAATTCTTCTTTAGAAGGTGGCCCAGAAAGGCACACTACAGAGGTTATTTTTTCCAAATAACAATAACTTTGCACCTAATCTTAAAATAACGTGCATGTATTTTTCTAAATTGAAACAATACAAAAGATGTAAAAAATAAAGTAGAAAAGTAATTCTAACTCCTATTTCATCCAGAAATAACCATCACTAATCTTTTATGGAAGAGTGTGCCAGTCAAAAATGAATCCTGGGAATGGTTAATAATGGCTAGCCACGAGCCCATGGAGTGATATTACATGTATAAATAAAATATATTTTGTACCTACACAGAATTATATATGTATGAAAGAATTTATGTATTTGTATAAATATATACAAATATTACAGTGACAAATGTGCCATCTTGTTCTGTTTACTTATAACAGTTTTATACAATTTATTTTACAATATACAAGAAATCCTGATAAAAGACTTTTAAATTCCTGGTTTTATTTGCTTTCTCTTTTTTCTTAATCAATAACCTTGCCAGAGATTTGTCAATTGTATTTATATTTTTAAAAAACTATCCAAAACATATATCAGGGAATATAATGCATACACTTAAATGTTTCCTGAGTCAAAGAAGAAATCATATTGTAAATTAGAAAATACCTGGAACTAAATAACAAAGTTAAATAATCCCCTAAATACTTGTGAGATGTGCTAAAGAAATTATTAAAAAGATATTCTATCTCCTTAATTAACAAGTTATATGTTTCGCTCAAAAAATTTAGAAAAAGAGCAACTGACTAAACCCAAAGTAGAAGGAAATAAATTAGTGATAGAAAATAAAGAGACACTCAAAAAAAAAAAAAAAACTAAGTTTTCCAAGTGTGAATAAAATAGACAAGCCCTTGGCAAGATCAAGTGGGCCAAAAGGCTACAGATCATAAGTGAAATACAGAATCTCCCTAAAGATGCAGCCAGAGTTTTATAAAACCTGAATAATGTGAACTGTGGGCAAAATGGGCATATCCTCGACACCCCCAAAAAACTTATCAAATCTTAAAAATAAGAAGCTGAAGAGGTTTCTAATACTAAAAACATTGAAAGAGGAGTTTAAATATATAACTGGAGAACAGTTGTTGGTCCTCATAGTAACCCAATCCACTTTCCCTCTGGGTAGAGAATGCCACAGTTGTTCTCTTCCGTGCCAGGGGTGCTGGAGGCGGTCCAAATACTATTGTACCCCACCCTGCTAAGGGGCATGAAGTAGGGCACAATTAAAATGACTCAGAGAAGGTGAAATTACTCAGCAACAGGCCAACCTCTCAGACCGATTTACGTCCTAAACAGTGAAATGCCGCCATTTCTTCTCAGCAGGAACTACTGGTTTTTTAACAACTTCAGCAATGAAACAAAGCAATTTCAAAGAGATACAAAGTGTATCTTTTACAGAATTTGGAATGCACTTAAATCTGACAGCTAAAAGAAAGAGTCAAAAAAAAAGAATCAAATGTTTGCCAAGGCACAAAACAGTCAGTGTTGCGGGACAGGGTTTCAAGAATTAACAGCACCCACGCCACAGTGTTCCCAATACTAATTTGAACTGGAAAAAGCCCCGCAGCCTCTCGATCCGGTCCGGTTTGAACCCGCGCCTGGGCTGGGATCTCAGCGCCCCTCCTTCCGGGAGTCCTGGGGCCGGCGGCCCTCTCCGTGCTCGGCAGCGACCCACCTCCTCGGCGTCCTGGCCCAGCGGGATGCCCAGGTTTTTGAGCCCCTGCTGCAGCTCGCCGATGTCCACCACGCCGTCCCCGTTGCGGTCCAGGACCTGGAAGAGGGTCTCGTAGCGCGTGGGCGGCTCGGCATCCTGGCAGGCGGCGGTG